TCATAAACAAAAAATGCATTTAAAAAGTTGTGTTTCATCTATAAATTGCTTTACGGTATAATTAACTTCATTTAGTTTTACATAAATTTTTAAACTCATATAAAACCGTTTATATAATATATATGTGTATAAAACTGACAGCAAATATGATATTTATAGCGTAAACACATTTAAAAAGCTGTTTATAATTAAGCAAAAAAGGTTTCTCTCATTTAAATTTAAATTTTGTTATTTTTTCAGTTCAAACATAACTTATATTTATGTAAAGAGAGAAAGAAATATAAATTAAATAAATTTTCGGTTTAAACACAACACACAAACTGGCAGTCAGTTTGGGTACTAAATAATCAAATGATAAATCGGTATTGAGTTTTGAAAACAGTATTTCACGTCGACATTAACGGCTCATCAGTTTATATACAAAACTTTTTCATATATAATATCGGCTCATATTCTGGGGGTTGAGCTAAGAATAACAGTTGCCCTAAGAGTTGGAGGAAATTGTATGTCAGATATACATGTTTATTGGGCTCTGAGTTGGTTTTTTACAGTAAAAATATAAAATATATACAGTGCAGCGCTCTGTATATTTGTCAGCGTTTAGAAAGCAATAAGAAATGTATATTTTTGTTAATTTGCTATCGATTTGTTAACGGATGCAAAACAGCGCTCAAAAATAGTCTGATTATGAGATAATTGTGAGCAAATGTATGGCAAGAGGGAGAGAGAGGGAGAAATATATAGACATTCATACCTTCATACAGACGACGATATGTCCGGACTTTTCTTTACGTCTCATATGGAGCCGAAGTAATACAATACTAGCGCTAAATATGATTGTGAAGACCAATGCAAACGATACCAAAACTATAAATTCAGTCAATGACGACCTGTTGTTGTTTATGGCGGCGGTTGTGATGGGTGTCAAGTGGTGGACGGCCTCCAAGTGGGCGTCCGATTGGGTGTAATTGTCTTCAATGGCCGTCAATTTAAACGATACTTCGCTAATGAGAATCCATTTCTTCGCAAACTTTAGATCAAATTTGACAAACTTTGCGATGCGATGGTGTAAATGGATGACCACATCCCGGGCCCTATCGATCACATTGTCGGCCATATATGAGAACTCGACCGGTCTTTTGGACCAAACTTTGCCGTCAAAACTAAACCACACTTTAGCCGAAGAGAACACTTCCATGTCTTGCGAGTAAATATTATGGCAATGAAAGACAGCGGACGTAAAGTTTTCAGTCTTCAGGAACTGAAATATGATTTGTATGGAACTGTTGGGCTCGCCGTCAGACTTCCATCCGATCCATTCGTATCCCTTATTAACTTTATAGTTGTCGTCACCTCTGATACCATCGACCAGTTGTCCGATACCTAGAACTGAAATATGATTTGTACGGAACTATTGGGCTCGCCGTCAGACTTCCATCCGATCCATTCGTATCCCTTATTAACTTTATAGTTGTCGTCACCTCTGATACCATCGACCAGTTGTCCGATACCTCCGGATAAATATCCGTGTGAGTCCTCCCGACCATCATATGTCATGTCAACCAAATCGCCGAATCGACCGCTTTTATAGCCGTCTGGCATTGAATACACAACCGGAATATCTCGTTGTTTGCAACCAAACAATTCCAGCCGAAGACAAGTAGTCCTCTGATGGCTGGCAAAGGGCACGACTCGTATCAGATTAATGCCAACCAATGGATGCGATAACTCATGATTTAAGACAGTATATGTGTCAGTATTTCCGTGAAATTTCTATAAGGTAAATAATCAACATTACAGTCAACAAATTGTTTTAACATTGATGAAATTGAAAGTGAATGATAACATACATGATCGCCATTCTGATCGGTCCACTTATGCCAAGTGCTTCCGTTATCGCGCGAATATTCAATCCAAAAGCCCTCCACGTATTCAACGCCCACTCCATTGCCAAACCGGCCCTGAATTGCGATTCCGGTGACCACATACTGGTCCCGAAGATTCACTTGAATCCATTCGGTGCCCGACTCGCGATCATTCAATTGCTTCAATGGACACCACGCGCCACCCGATAGCTCCCGGTTTAGGCTAACATATATCAAATATATCGCATATATAAATAAATTAACTTTTTGTGTGAACTGTATATTGTTTAGTAATGCAGTTATGGTAAGTTTAATTAAATGTTATCTAAAATAGATGTTTAATTATGTAATTAAGTGTTGGAGACTAACCGTGCGTTTTGAGGTCCGACACTGTGTTGACTATAGGATGACGAGGCGGTGATGTCCTCATCAGGAATGACCCCCGACTCCATACCCAGTGCTTTAGGACCACCGGAATAGTCGCATAACACACTCTTTTTGATGTCGATAATTGCATCGTCTGTTTTAAAATACAGAATAAATTCATAAATAAATGTTTATAAGCTTTTAATTGATAATTATTGTTAAAATGTAATCTAAATTCACATTAAAATATTTTTATGAATTATTGCTGAAAATGTTTTAAAATATTTATAAGATATTGTATGCTTCATAAGCAAGAAAAATGACCATTTACATTTGTATTTTTACAACTTATATGCTGTGCTATTGTATGGCAATAAAAATTGGTTTTTATTTTTTCAGAAAATATACACTTTGTATATAAATGAGAATATATTTCTCTCAACGCTTGGCTTGACTTTTGACTTCATGTGTAGGAAAATAATATATCTGAATATATTTTGTCAAAATTTATATATATTTATACATTGAATTGAGAAATAAATAATAAAACCCTCAAAACAGTTATTTGTATATAAATAAAGTTTTTTTTGTTTGAAAACCA